GGACCTGGCTGTCCCCAGTATGCTGTGCTGCAGCATGCTGCTGGCTGGTGCTGCCCCGGCTGAGTCCAGCTGTGCTCCAGCCCCAGCAGCTCGCCTGGAGAGGAGTCTGCAGGATGTGTGGGTGCGGGACGGTGAGGATGCACAGTTCTCCCTGGAGTTGTCAGCCATGGTGCAAGGCACTTGGTTCCTCAACGGTGCCAGGCTGGGCGAGGACGAGGAGGCAGGAGGCCAGTGCAGTGTGCGGCGCTGTGGGACAGAGCACTCGCTGCTCATCCGGAGAGCACGGCTGGCAGACAGTGGGGCCCAGGTCACCTTCACATCTGGTGGCGTGCGGGACTCGGCTACGCTGCACGTTCAAGGTGAGTGAGGTGCTTGCCCTGGCGTTCTGCCAGAAGAGCAGCAGGAGCTCTCATGGTGTTGGATGCTTCTCATAGAATCATAGACTGGTTTGGGTTGTAAAAGACCTTAAAAATCATCTAGTTCCAGGTCCCTTGCACATGGAAAGGGACACCTCCCACTATACCAAAAAAAAAGCTCCATCCAACCTGGCCTTCTCACCCCGCTGCAATGTCTCTCAGTCTCCCAGGTCCACATCACCCCAGTGCCTGAGGCTGAGCAGCTCCGGGAGGTGCCAGTGGGGCTGCCTGTGCTGCTGGAGTGCCAGGTGTCCCCCCCAGATGCCCCTGTCTGCTGGCTGAAGGACGGCGAGGCTGTGCCCCTGGATGGTGTCATTGCAGTGCAGGCGGAGGGCTGTGTGCGCAGGCTGCTCCTCCGCTCAGCGGCTCCCTCAGACACCGGAACCTACACCTGTAACACCGGGGATGATGCTGTGAGCTTTGTGGTGACTGTGACTGGTGAGTTGGTGACTGTGTGCAGGCTCCTGGACCCTACTTCCTGACAGTGCTTCTTACTCACATGATGGGGCTGAAAGCTGCCATCAGTCGAGTGCCCATGCTGAGCCCCATGTTATCCCTGGCAGAGGCACCAGTGAGGATCATCGACTCCAACGAGGAGGCCCCCCACGCCTACACGGCCGGGCAGCGTGTGGAGCTGTGGTGCCAGCTGTCTCGCCCGGCAGCCACAGTGCGCTGGTACAAGGATGGGGAGGAGGTGGAGGCGAGTGAGAGCCTGGTGCTGGAGCAGGAGGGGCCACGGTACCAGCTGGTGCTGCCCTGTGCCCGGCCACAGGATGCGGGGGAGTTTGTCTGTGATGCTGGTGGGGACTCTGTCTTCTACACCATCACTGTGGCAGGTGGGTGTGATGCAGGTGGGCTGACAGGGTCACGCCTTGGGGGGCTTTCTTTGGTGGAGCGGGCTGGAGCATGTGTCACTGTTGCTGTTGCTTGCTGCTCTGGCATTGTGAATGCTTGTCAGAGGTGCTCTTGCCAGGTCTTCACCAGTGGGTCAATTGGGCAGTGGTCTATGCAGCAGCTCTGGTGTATAAAAATCACCCAGACTGACTAACAAAGTGGACAGCTCTCTCTGCTAGTTTGAAATGCTGAGATGCTCCAGGGCTGTCACCCAGCACCCCCACACGGGGGTGTTTGCTGGACTTCTCCCATGGACAGTAAACAAGCCCTTTTCTGAGTTCCTAAAAATAGTGGGTACAAGCACCCGGCACCTGGTGTGGGGTGACTCCTGGTTGAACATTACTCTGACAGATGGTGTTAATTGCTGACCTGAAAATTAGTGGTTGCCTGGGTACCAATGGTTGGGTTGTGTTTGCTGGGTGCAAGCAGGGGATGGCATCCTGCGGTGGCTGCCCCGGCCATGGAGTGGCTGCTGGCCTCCCTGGCTGGCAGAGGATAATGAAAGCTGAAAGCAAGTGAAAGACTTTCCTTTGCTGGCCCCGAAACCCCCAATCTTGCAACCACAGGAAGGCAGCCACAAGCAGAGCTAAAACCCAGTTAAAAGGCTCAGTGACCACAGTGGTAAAACCTCCCCACAGTGTTAATATGTGGCAAAGGGCCAAAGTTGATGGCAGAAAATGGAGGAGTGAAGGTGGGTTGAGTAACGAGAGATGCTGGAAAAGTCAATGAAGTGGTGACCGCTGGAATGGCGAAGAAAGAAGGGGTTTAGTGTGATAAAGGCAAAATCACCAGCAGGAAGGCCAGGCTGCATGAGCTCTGGACAAAGACAGGAGGCATTGTTCACCTCACAGGGGTGCAGGGCACGGAGAGCTCAGCTTCCCTAGGGCAGGAGGGGGAAACACCATCTGCTGAAGCTCAGCCTTCCAGCTGAGCAGCTTTGCATAACTTAGGTGGAAGGGCCTTAGAGAGGGTGGCTCAGTCCAATCAGGATTTAGCCACTAGGCTCACTGGTGATACTCAGTGTGGGTGCCAGTTGGTGCAGGCTGGCACCCTTCTGGCATGAGTGCTGAGCTGGCTGCTGCAGTCAGTGCTGCCATGGCAGGCTTGGGTTTCCCCGAGGCATCCCAGCTATCCCCCAGGGCTGCTGCATGGAATTCTCCTGCCTCAGGCCCAGCCACACACACCTCTGCCTTTTCTGGCAGCTGCCGAGTGCTGGGGTTCCCTTGGAGCTGGTGGTAGGGCTCTGGGGCCAGAGCAGCAGTGCCCGCTGAGGACTGGCACATAGCCCCCTCCTTGCTTCAGTGCTGTTCAACATCTCCAGGTGCACTTCAGCAACATGATTGCTTTTAGCAGGCCCAAGGAGACAGGCAGCTGCCAAGCGTTTGATCATGGAACCAGGCAGATGCAGGCTCAGCATGGTGCAGGTTGAACGCTGCAAACTGGTGCCGTGCTGCTCTGGCACACAGCAGGGCTGAGGTGCACTGCTGAGCCTGGGCATGGGGCTGGAAAATGCCTGGGAAGTTTGCAGTCCGGATGCCCAGCATGGGGCAGGCCGTGAGAAGGACAGGTTACTGCTGGGCCACCAGAGTGCTCTGGTGCTGGCTGTGCTCCATGCCCACCGGGAGCCATGGACTGGCTGTGTGCACCATGGCACAGTCTGGGCCAGCTGCAGCCATTGTAACATGGATGGCCGGGAGGGTGGTGTTGGCTGCTGCAGGAATAGGCCACATCCTGACCTTTCCCCAGGAGACAGGAGGACTAGTCACTTCATGCTTGTACTGAGGTCTCCTCTGTCTTTAGAAGTCTGGCTCAAGTCAGTGGGGAGATGTGAGCAGTGGTGCACATATTGTAACTCATTAATGCTGGCGTTCAGTGAGCACTGTGATCTGGCATGGTGTCCTGGGCCCCAGTGAGCCAGAGGGATGGGGATGCTGGCCACAAGTGAGCCACATGCCTGGGCCACAGCGTGAGCAAAAGAGCTCAGCAAGGGCTGAGCTGAGACAGAAGCACCAGGCAGGACTCGATGCCCTCTGAAACACAGAGACAGGGGAAGGGGTGGGCAGCCCACCAGGGCATCCACAGGGGCTGGTACTGGCACTACAGACGGCAATTAGCAGTGCTGGGGCTCTCTAACGAGGCACTTTCCTACCTCCATCCCACCTTTGCATCACTCAGTTCCATCCTAGGGCAGAGCAGGATAGGCACTGAGGGAGCTGGGGAACAGCAGCGATTCACAGCCAGGCTGGAAGCTGGGTGCTCCTCCCAGATGTGATGGCTGAGGAGCAGACGGAGTTCCAGGCAGGGCAGCCCAGTTGCTTGTCTTATGCAGGAGCCTTAAACCCAACAAGCTGGTTAAGTCATTGCTCCACGAAGGTCTGTGACTGACACTATCACCTGCTCTGTTCTTTACATCCCTGCTGAGCCCTGTGTCTCTCCCCAGCAGAGGCACCAGTGAGGATCATCGAGTCCAATGAGGAGGCCCCCCACGCCTACACGGCCGGGCAGCGTGTGGAGCTGTGGTGCCAGCTGTCTCGCCCGGCAGCCACAGTGCGCTGGTACAAGGATGGGGAGGAGGTGGAGGAGAGTGAGAGCCTGGTGCTGGAGAAGGAGGGGCCGCGGTGCCGGCTGGTGCTGCCCTGTGCCCGGCTACAGGATGCGGGGGAGTTTGTCTGTGATGCTGGTGGGGACTCTGTCTTCTACACCATCACTGTGGCAGGTGAGTGTGATGCAGAGTTATGGCCCTCTCCCCCCCTCTCCCTCTGCCACAGCTCCCTGCTCATGCTGCCATCCCACTGGCAGCTGCAGCATCTCAGCTGCCCCTCAGCTTCTAATGAGTGGCTCCATGCCTGTGCTGAATGAGGATGTGAGCAGGAGCAGATTGGCTGCTCTGTCTCCTCCCAGAGCCCTGTGCTGTGCTGCCCTTCCACACCCCAGGGCACAGCCATGCTGCCTACCCATGGGTTATGCCACTTCACACTCTAGCCCTGGTTCTCCCTCAGTTTTCAGCTGCCAGCTCTGCAGAGCTGGGACAACCCAACTGCTGGTTCCAGGGCAGGTAGGATGGAGGCCAAGTGACACAGGGTCCTGGTCCTCTCAGCCCCACAGGTCCACGTTGCCCCAGTGCACAAGGCACAGCAGCTCCAGGAGGTGCTGGCAGGGCTGCCTGTGCTGCTGGAGTGCCGGGTGTCCCCTCCTGATGCTCTGGTCCAATGGCTGAAAGATGGTGAGGCTGTGGTCCCGACAGAGGCACTGGCCATCCTCTCAGCGGGAGGCTTGCGGGCTCTGCACATCCCTGCAGCTGCACCAGCCGACTCAGGGATGTACACCTGTGATGCTGGGGATGATGTTGCCAGCTTTGGGGTGACTGTGAGCGGTGAGCTACCCTGGGGGTGCCCGTCCTCCTGTGGGACCACCCATCACCACTTCTGATCTCTGCCGTGTATCCTTTGGCAGAGGCACCAGTGAGGATCATCGACTCCAATGAGGAAGCCCCCCATGCCTACACAGCTGGGCAGCGTGTGGAGCTGTGGTGCCAGCTGTCCTGCCCTGCAGCTCCTGTGCGCTGGTACAAGGATGGGAAGGAGGTGGAGGCGAGTGAGAGCCTAGTGCTGGAGCAGGAGGGGCCGCGGTGCCAGCTGGTGCTGCCCTGTGCCCGGCCACAGGACACAGGGGAGTTTGTCTGTGATGCCGGGGACACATCTGTCTCCTACCACGTCTTGGTGTCAGGTTGGTGGCACAGCAGGGATGTCCTGCTGGGAAGGGCAGCACTGCCCCAGTTCTGTGCCATGTGGTGCCCAGTGCTGTGCCCTGCCCTCAGTATCACTGAGGAGAGGATGCAGCAGCATCACCCAGGGGCTGGTTGGTGGATGGTCCCTCCAGCATGCTGGGCTTGCACCATGTGCCCCCTGCCCCTGTCCTCCAGCAGCTCCCGCCCCTTTGCACTGGAGCGAGAGGCTGTAGCATCCACACAGCCCTGTGGCGACAAGGATGCAGGTGACAGAAAGTAGGGACAGCCAGAGCCAGGAGCTGTGCAAAGGGAAGGTCTTATACACTTCTTCCACCTCCCTGGCAGAGCCACCAGTGAAGATCCTGCACCCTCTTCAGCGCTCGCTGGAGGTGCTGGTGCAGGCGCCGGGGCGTGTGGAGCTGCAGTGTGAGCTTTCTGTGCCGGATGCTCCTGTGCGTTGGTTCAAAGATGGACTGGAAGTGGATGAGTCAGACAACCTGCTGCTGCTGGTGGAGGGAGCCAGGCGCTGCCTCCTCATCCCCAGGAGCAGTGCAGAGGACATGGGCGAGTACATCTGTGAAAGCAAGGATGAGGCCGTCTCCTTCGATGTCAAGGTGTCAGGTCAGCGGGGACTTGGCAGCAGGGACGAGCTGATGAGCCCCTGCCTACAGGGTCTTTCCCAGTCTGGGTGAGGGGGACCAGATCCTCTGTAGTGATGGATCTGGTGCATGCATGCCCCTGGGTGCTGGGCCACCCAGCCTGGTTGCTCATGTAGGGCTGGCAGCAGAGGTGTCCCCAGGACTGTGTTGTTCCCCTTCTGCTTTACATCACAACCATGCCATCATTGCAGAGCCACCAGTGAGGATCCTGCAGCCCCTCAGACCTCCCCCCATGGTAACAGTATTCCGGGGGGAGACAGTGACGTTGGGCTGTGAGCTGTCCCGTGTGGATGCACCTGTGCACTGGACCAAGGAGGGCATCAGACTGGAGGCTGGGGGCAGCCTGGTCCTGGAGGAGGAGGGTGCCCACCGCCACCTGCTCATCCCCATGGCCCAAGCTGAGCACTCTGGAAAATACGTCTGTGATGCCACTGATGACACAGTGACCTTCACCGTGAAAGTGTTGGGTGAGCAAGATGCTGGGGGAGAGCCTGGTGTGTGGGGTGCTGGGTGCACAGACCCCAGAGACTACATGTCTGTTGGTTGGGTGCTGCAGACCCGATGGTCAGGATCCTGGAGAGGGATGTCCTGCCAACCCATCAACACTGCCGGGCCATGGAGGACCTGGTGCTGGAGGTGCATCTCTCACATGCCCATGGGGAGGTGAAGTGGTACAAGGATGGGGAGAAACTGCAGGACACAGGGCGTGTGCGGCTGGAGGAGGATGGGGCACGCCGCTTGCTCGTTGTCCTGGGTGCCACAGGCAGGGACGCAGGGGAGTACCTCTGCGACACCGGCGATGACAGCATTGTCTTCTTTGTCACTGTGGAAGGTAAGCAGGAGGTCCTGGGTGGGACAGACAATGCGGCAAGGACTGAGGTGGGTCCCTAGCTGCTGCCTGGCTGGTGTGGGGCTGGGCTGGGTGGCAGTGAGCATGGAGAGGCTGGTGGAGCTGGACACAGGGAGTGGGCTGCACCCACTCAGGGGCTCTGTGGAAACCCTTGCACCGCCCAGCTGCAGCCAGAGGATGTCTGGACGGGATCTAGTCATTGCAGCACCTGGCACAGGTTGCTGCTCCCATGGTGACAACCCATCTCTCCAGTCCCAGAACCACCAGTGACCATTCTGGGTAGCACTGGTGCTGTGGAGCATCACTGCCTGGTGGCCGGGGAGGACCTGGTGCTTGCCTGTGAGCTCTCCCGACCTGATGCCATCGTGCGCTGGCTCAGGGATGGCCAGGAGGTGCAGCCGGGTGAGCGGGTGCAGGTCGAGGCCCATGGGGTGCTGAGGCAGCTCACCATCCATGGGGTACAGCCCAGCGACTCAGGGCGCTACATCTGTGATGCTGCCAGTGACCGTGCAGTGACAAGTGTGGAGGTGTCAGGTGAGCTGGCAGGAGTTTAGCACTGGGGAACTCCAGCATGGTGGGATTGTGCTGCAGCCCTGGGTGCAGGGAGGGAACACCTCAGTAACCTCATTGATGGCAGAGGCCATGGGACAGCATTGTGGCAGGGGAGGGTGAGAGCCCTGTCTGCAACCTCTCAGGAGCAATCAGCCAGGAAGTGGCATGTCAGGGTTGTGATAAGACCCGTCTCTCCTGCCCCCCCCAGCCAGGGGCTGGTTAAATTTAGCCTTGGACAACTCCCAGGCGCCGCTCCTCCTGCTTTGGCTGCCAAGGGCTCAGTTCTGCCTGGACCTTTATCAGCTGGAGATGGAGGGCTGGACAGGGTGGAAGAAAGCCTGGTGCAGGCAGGTGGCTCTGCTCCTCAGCAATGCACTTGGGATGGGGGGGATGACACCAAAATTGGTGGTCCCAACCCAGCAGCTGAGTTGCTTGTGCAGGGAGGGATGCAGGAGAGACAGGCTCTGCTTCCCTCCCTGCCTAGGGCCCCTTCCCTGAGGGGACCCTGAGTTGCCAGACCCCACCAGCTAGCATTCCTACCCAACTAGCATCCCTGTCTAGTCCCACCATGACCTCCACTAGCCCCACAGCAACCCCCAGCCACCCAAAGTGTCCTGCAGTTGGATGCACTGTGACCCCCTTCAGCTCCACAGCCTTCCTGTCCCACAGTGGCTCCCTGTAGGCATCACTGCTCACAGCGCTCCTGTCCCTGCACTGCATCTGCAGCACAGGGACACCTCGGAGCTCTGCCTTGTCCCTTGTGCCCCCCAGCCCAGCCTGTGCGCATTGTCAACAAGGAAGAGGCCCAGAGCCCATTGGAGGTGCTGGAGGGGGACAGTGTGACGCTGGTGGCCCGGCTGTCCCCAGAGACAGCAGTGGGACAGTGGCAGAAGGAAGGACAGATGCTGTGCTCAGGCGGGCGGCTGCTGGTGTGCAGCGAGGGCCCAGCATGCAGCCTCACCATCAAGCATGTGGAGCTGAGCGACAGCGGCATCTTCCTCTGTGATGCTGGTGATGATGAAGTGCATTTCATGCTGAATGTGAAAGGTGAGCCTGGAGGTGTCCCTCACCCGTGCCAGGAGGGCAGGCGCAGTTCCCTGCCCTGCACCAGGATGCTTCATGCCCAAGATGCACAACTAAGCCCAGTGCTCCCTGGAACAGAGGCACCCGTGCTGTTTGTGAACAAGCAGGAGGAGCAGGAGAAGCTGCTGGTACTGGAGGGTGGCAGTGCTGTGCTCTCTGCCGTCACCTCCACGGAGCGAGCTGATGTCACCTGGCTGGGCCCACAGCAGGTGGCAGTGGCCACCGACCGCTGTGAGCTGCGACAGGATGGCCGAGTGCACAGCCTTGTCCTCCACAACGTGGCCAAGGAGGACGCTGGTGTCTACACCTGCGTCTCTCCCCATGATCGGATGCAGTTCGACATGAGCGTCCGAGGTGGGAAACAGGGGTGGCAGGAAATGCCTGGGGACACCTCCACGGTGGTGGCAGGTGCCAATGTAGGGGTTTTGGCCATGCAGAGCTGCAGGTGAAGTTCCTACGTGGGCTGTCAGACGTGCGTGCACGGCAGGGCGAGCGGGTAGTGCTGTGGTGTGAGCTCTGCAAGGCGCGGGGTGACGTGGTGTGGCGGAAGGACGGGCAGGTGCTGGCACCTGGGCCCCATCGGCAGATGATGGTGGAGGGGCGAGAGCGCTCGCTGGTGCTGAGCCGCGTGGGGCCCGAGGATGCTGGCGAGTACTGCTGCGAGTCCAACGACGACCGGACGCTGGCAATGCTGACAGTGCAGGGTGAGGTGTGCCCGTGGCTTGGCTGAGCCCCCTGGTGCCCCTGTGCCACAGGGGTGGTGGGAAAGCTGGGCCTAGTAGTGGCTGGGGGTTGCAGGGATGCTCAGTGGCTGTGCAGGGTGGGGGTCCCTTCTGCCATGCCCTGACAACCTGGCTGTAGTTCCCAGGGTGGTGGAGATCATCATGGAGCTGCAGAGCCTGATGGTGCTGGAGGGGGAGGATGCCACCTTCAAGTGCCTGGTGTCCCCCGAGGACGTGGCTGTGACCTGGCAGCTGAATGGCCAGCCTGTGGTCCCCAGTGAGCGGCTGCTGGTGAAGAAGAGTGGGATGTGCCACAGCCTCACACTCCGGCAGTGCCAGCCAGGTGATGCAGCCACTGTGACAGCCAATGCCGAGGGGCTGGGGAGCATGGCCCGGCTGAGCGTGCAAGGTGAGGGGGAAGGAGCTGCTGGGGCACAGCCCAGGACACAGCTCTGGAGCCAATCACTGACTCAGCACATGGGCCATGCAGAGGCGCAGGTGCTGTTTGTGCGTAAGCTGCAGGACATGGTGGCAGAGGAGCAGGGGGACGTGTGCCTGGAGGTGGAGGTGAGCCACGAGGCTGCTGAGGTGCAGTGGCTGAAGCAGGGTGTCCTCCTCCAGCCGGGCAGCAAGTACCAGCTGCAGGAGTCAGGGTGCCGGCGCACCCTCACCATCCACTGCCTTGGCCCCGCTGACCGCGGCACCTACCGCTGCGAGAGCCTGCATGACCGCACGCAGGCCAGGCTCTGCGTGGAGCGTGAGTATCTGGATGGGAACGGTGGTGGATGGGGCTGAGGACAGGGATGGGGACAGGGAAGGCTCCAGTCTGCTCTGCTGCAAGGATGCTGCAGGCTGGAAGAGGGAGTATGGGCAGAGCTGGTACTTGGCTGGAAGGGGTGGTTAAGCAGGGAGGTGAGCATGGACATCAGGGATGGGCAGGGGTGGGTTAAAAGGGCTGGATTGAGGTGATCAGTCCAGCAAGCACACACTAGGGACCTGGGAGGTCTGGGGTGGAGCAGGTGCCTGCTTGTGGACATGGGTCTCTTGCAGCCCGAAAGGTGTCCATCCGGACATCGTTGGCAGACATGGAGACCTTCGAGAAGGAGACAGCCACCTTCCACCTGGAGCTGTCTCACCCTGATGTGCCTGGGGTGTGGACACGGGATGGGATCCGGGTGAAGCCCAGCAGCACGTGCCGGATCAGTGCCACAGGCTGCAGACACAGCCTGACACTGGAGAGGCTGGCGCTGGAGGACTCCGGCACCATCACCTTCACGGCTGACACCCTGCGCTGCAGCGCCCGCCTGCTTGTGCGGGGTATGGTCACTGCAGCAGGCACTGGGGGGTTGTGGGGCACCAGCACTGCATGTCCTGCAGCTGTTCAGTCCTGGGGGAGATGCCAAGGCAGAGCTGAGCCACCCCAGGCATACTGTAGCAGATGTACCCCTGTCCCCAGGGAGGACATGTGAGCTCAGCAGTGGGGCCTCTTGGTCATGGTCTAGGTTCAGAGCCAGCTGGGATACCAGTGATATGTGATTGCTCATGGTGGTGCCCTGAGAAGTGCCACCCCCGTCCTATGCTGAGATGTTCTGGGCAGCACACCTTGTCCCCACAGCCCCAAGACTACCTCTGTCCTCTACCAAACCTTTCCACCCTGTGTCCTCTCTCCTCAGAGCCTCCAGTCACTATGGTGAAGGTCCCACGGGATCTGGGGGTACTGGAGACAGGGGTTGCCAGCTTTGAGTGTGAGCTGTCTCGCCCCAGCGTGGAGGTGAAGTGGTTCAAGGTGAGGGCTCGCCTTGACCCCCTCCAGCAGTGCCCAGCCACATCCTTGTCCCTGCTTTGCCCCCTGGCCACTGCCCTCTTTGCTGGGGCTGTGGGCAGGAGAGGGGGGTTTGAAGCAGCAGGGTGCTGCCTGCTTGCACCCCTGATTGTGTGCTCCTCGTGACAGGATGGGCAGGAGCTGCGGCCAGGGCCCAACTGCCGCATCTACTCGGCGGGTCGACGCAGAGTTCTGCAGCTGAGCCACTGTGAGCTGGCTGATGCTGGCACCTACACCTGTGACACAGGCGACTGCCAGGCCTCTGCCACGTTGCACGTCCAGGGTATGGCCTGGGGACACGTGCACCCCCAAAGCCTATGCTGCCCATACCCCCTTGCCCTTGGCCCCTCTGGCACCTTGACCCTCGCCCGCAGAGCGCCAGGTCTCCATCGTGCAGGACCTGCAGGACGCCCAGGTGCAGGAGGGTGACAACGCCGTCTTCACCTGTGAGGCCTCGCATGGAGACATAAAGGGGGAGTGGCTCCGGGATGGAGAGAAAATCAAGGTCTCCAGCATGGTGAAGATACGGCAAGAAGGTGGGGGTGCAAATGGCCCCACACCCAGTTTGGGGTTGGGAGGGGGCAATTCAAGAAAGGGGATTTTGTGTGGACAAAGGTGGTATCCATGCCTTCCACCTGGGGGGGGGCGGAG